CCCCAAGCACCTGCTTGTTAAGCTGGTGCCTGGAGCCGGCCCTGGCTGGCATGTTCCAGCAGGATTTAAGTCCCCTGCACCCTTCAGCAGCTCCAATTCGAGCCACCTCACCTGCCTTAGAGTTTCCCACCTGGTGGGATTTTGAGGCTCCTCCAGGAACTCATGGTTATACACTAATCCCAAGCAAAAAGCCTTGGCTTCTCCACGGACTCCAGCAAAGAATTATTCCCCTGCCCTTCCCCCTCTCCCCTCCCCCCCCCATGAGGGGGTGCTGGCAGTCCGCAGTGAACAGGCCCCACACTGAATGCGCTAATCACAAAGGTTCACACTCAGTGAAGCCCTTGCTGGGGGGCTGCTTGTGGACCCCAGACCAGCCACACTTCCTCAGGGACATTGCGAAAATCCCTCTGCAGGGCTGGTGGGTCTGCACATGACGAGACAGGCCGTGGCCAGGGAAGGGGACTGTGGGGATTTGCTGCTCCATGCATTATCCCCACAAACCCTACAGGGGCTTCTGCAGACACTAGCTCGTCCATGCACCACGCTTGTGCTGCAGTGGTTCCCTGGGCATCCCTTGGCAGTGGGACTCTGCCAGAGACATGTGGCCATAGCAGTGGGGAGCCTGGTGGAAGGTCCCTCTGGCAGCGCAGCAGCACGGGGCTTTTGGATAGATGACAGCTGGTTTCTGCAGACCAGGGTGGCTACTAATACATGTAGGAGTGGTGCCAAGGAGTTTACATGGGTGTTTGCCTGCAGAGGGGAATCTGGGTCCAAGATCTCTGCTCCTGTCTGTGCTGCAATGCAGCTGCGTTCTGCTCCGACTCCATCAGCTGAGCCATGGGGCACCAAGAGCCGATCTCCTATTGCAGTGCCAGGGAATAGCTGAGTTTGGGGCAGGAGCAGGCGTGGCTGCAACATTGGCAAATGCACTCCCTGCTGAGCTGATGGCTCTCCATCTGCTGGGGAGACATGGCGGGGGGGTGTTTTGGGAGGGGTTTCACAGCTGCCTTATGCCAGCACTGCCAGTGTAAAGTGACTGTCCTGCAACCATCCAATTCCTGCCCGTTAGCCTAGTTTGAAGCAGTTCCGATGTTGCTAATGTAATGGCCTGGATTTGCCAATCCCAGCACCCAAAGGTTCGGATCTGATCCGAACCGCTTGGGTCTGTTTGGATCCTGGGTTCTGGGTCAGGCCCCATCTTCAGTTTAGACCGATGCAATGTTCTGTGCAATGTCGTCCGTGCCCAGAGCAAACCCTTGCACAGCCTGTTCCTCCTCTCCTTGCAGGACGCTGGGAGAACCGACAGCGTGACAAAGCGCAACCTCTGGGCCAAGCGGCCTGACGACTCCTCCAGTGACACCAGGGTAAGAGCAGAGGGAGCATGGAGCTCGCTCACGTGACCTGCCCGGATTGTGCCAAGGGCCAGTGGCTGAGTTGGGCTTGAGTCCCTGGAATCTCCCCACCAGAGCAGCACAAAGTAGCCACAGCAAGGGCCAGGACCTGTAGCCATTAAGGGACCATGCAGAGGTCTGAGTGCACAGGCTGGCCTGCCTCACTGGGGGTATGTTGGGGGTGATGGGAGGAGCAGCAAAGAGGAGCTGGTAGTAGGGGAACTTGCATAGAGGGTGGGTCACAAGGAGGCAGGAGAAGATGTGGTGGGCAGGAAATCGGGTGTGTTGTGGGGTGGGGAAGAGCTGGGCAGCAGCTGAACATAACTGGGGAGCGCTGTGCCGGTGGTTTGGGTGCCTTTATAAGGGGCTAAAGCTCAGTGCAGACACTGATCACGGTAGTTCAAAGCACCTTTCTCTCTGCTGCAGCCTCTGACCCAGCCTGATGATGCCCTTTGTCTCTTTCAGCTGTAACACTACAAGACTCCCTGGGGATAATCTCTTGCTGTGATGATCAAAGCCTGGCCCTATGCAATCCTCCAGCATCCCTTCATGGCTTTGTCTCTGAGCATCTCCCTCCCATAAGACCAACGCTGCCTGGAGACCCATGTCCTGCTTTCCTCTTATGGTGCTGGGTGTTTCAGGGGCCTCTTACTTCTGACTGGTGGATGGGAAGGAAGAAGCTTTGAAGATGACTCGTGTCCTGCTGTCCCATCCCACCTCCCGGTCTAGCTATGACTTATCAAAGCCATGAGTGCTGTCCACATTGATGGTATGAGATCTTTGCTGCCCTGTCCCTGGACAATGCTTCAGCGTCTCCAGTTACCGTGTGCTATGACATGTGCTGTACCTGCAACAGACTGAACCAGGGAACCCGCATCCGGCTGCTAAAGCCAGCTCCAGAGCGTTGCTAGCAGTGGCCGGGCTCGGGGCTCAGGCCATTACAGCATTGCCCCTGTAGGTCCCGGGTTAAAAGCCAGCCCAGGCTTCACACAGTGGTAGCTGTAGGTAGCAGTGTTGTCTGGCTGAGGGAAGAGCTGTCTCCGCTAAGTTCCTACCTCAGCAGATGGGCCCCAACACAGCCATCCCTCAGCAAAGGGGCCATGAGGCCTGACCTCTCCTCCCCCACTAGAAAACCTCCCTGTAAGTCAGGGCTCAGGTGTGTTGGCTGGGTGCGGTGCAGGCAGGAAACCACTGCTGACCTGCGGCTCTTGGAGGATGTCTGCTGCAGGGTGTGGCATTCGTTGGGCCAGATCCATGGGCTGCCTTGGTTGACACTGCTGAGTATCTGGCCAAGCACCCGTCACTGCTTCATACCCCATCCATTCACACATGTGCACCACACTGTCCCTCCCCCTGGACACTCACTGGGGCTGTCCTGGGGGAGCAGTGTCTGCATTGTCCCTGGTTTGGTGTCAGAGGCCAATGGCCCCTTTAGCTCCCTTACTCCCAGTGTGTCACATGGGAGGGTGGCAGTTCTCAAGCTTTCCCATGCTAGTGCCCTGCCCCTT